AAACTTTTTCCAGCCCAGTGAAGCATCCTAACTTCTCTTTCAGGTAATTGTCAGCAACATAGTAAATATCAACACGAAGCAGATTATCATTGTAGATCACGCAGGGAGAACAAAGGGTAAAATATTTCACTGCAGCAGTGTTTGACTATATTCTGTGCAGTGAGAAAACCTGAAGTCATTTTCAAGGTCCACCATTTCTTACTTCTTTTCAGTCGGGTCAAGTTTCTAAACTTTCTAAATCTCCGTTTTCTGGCTAATGAAAAGAAAATAGGATTCCACCGAGTCTCCTATCTACCTGCTCCAGGATTTCTGTGAGGATCAAATGAGATGAGGCCGGGAAAACGCTTCAGAGACATTTGGTGACTGTGTAAAGAAAGTGTTTGCACCTGTAAAGTGTTTGCAACTGTAAAGCAAGTTGTGGTCCTGGGCCGAAGAAACCGCAGGGAGGCTCGTCATGGCTAGGGAGAGGAAGCCGGGCGTTGCTACGTGACGTCATTACCCGGATGGAGGGAGGGACACTTACATATTAGCCTTTTATATATATATATATATATATATATATATATATAGAGAGAGAGAGAGAGAGAGAGAGAGAGAGAGAGAGAGAGAGAGATTCTCTGTTCTGCATTTTTATTTTGGCTAATGAAAATATTACCCTCACTAAATAAAACAAGGAATGGCTTCACTTGGTGCCTTCAGTAAAGATATGGAGCAAATGGTGTCCACCTGGGAGCTAGATGTTTGAAACAAGGGTGCATGTGCATTGAAGATAAAATTGGCACTTTATCTTCCCTAGATCGAAGGCGAGTTACTGAAGGTATAATGTTTTTACTCTTTGTCTGCAGTAATGCAGTCTGCTTGCATCTCTAGGTATTCTGTGGTTGATGTTTTATCACTGTACTTGTTTTCCTCTCAATCCACTGCATGTAAATTCTTGCTTCACAGTGTAATATGGGCAAAGTGCCTTGAGGTTCAATTCAGTAAATATTTATTACCCTTGAAGTTCAATTCAGTAAGTATTTATGGAATTGAGCCATAATTACTGGAGATACAGAAGCAAGGCAGACCCTGCCCGTAAGGAGGTCATAGTCTTTTGGGGGAGACAGACAAATGGACAGAGAGTACAACGTAAGTGCAACCACAGAAGTGCTGGCCAGATGTGCAATAGGACAAAGGAGGGACTGATGGCCTGCAGCCACCTCGAATCCTTCCCAGAGCAATTTAGTGTGAAAATAAATAAGAGGAAACAAGCGTGGTAGGAGAGGGATGCGGGAACAGGTGAATGCTGTCATGTAACTAACTGTGGTTTTGTAATGCTTTATTTCCCCAAATGCAGGTATTTATTTGAACTGAAGGAAGACGATGATGCATGTAGAAAAGCCCAGCAGACGGGAGCATTTTACCTCTTTCATAACCTGGCTCCTTTGCTTCAGCAATCAGAACATCAGTACCTGCCCCCCCAGCACAGCCTATTAGGTAAGCCCAGAGTGAACCAGTAGAGTAGACCAACCTGTGGCTACTGAGCAGAATTCCGTCCATATTGATCCCTGAGAAGGATCCTCCAAGTTTAGAGTCCAGATGAGGGGTCCTCAAACTACGGCCCGCGGGCCACATGCAAATACAAATATTGTATTTGTTCCCGTTTTGTTTTTTTACTTCAAAATAAGATATGTGCAGTGTGCATAGGAATTTGTTCATAGTTTTTTTTTAAACTATAGTCCCGCCCTCCAACGGTCTGAGAGACAGTGAACTGGCCCCCTGTTTAAAAAGTTTGAGAACCCCTGGTCCAGATTGTCTCAAAGTCCTCTGCCAATTAAATACTTCGTGTATACACCTGTGTTGCCCAGGAAACTGTTATTTAGTGATGGTATGAACCACTACTGCCTTAAACCAGGGGTAGGCTAAATTGCTGTCCACATTGGAACCCCATACATTTTGTAAATAAATTTTCATTGGACCACAGCCACGCTCATTCATTTATACTAGTAGATTGTCTGCGGCTGCTTTTGCATTATAATAGCAGAGCAGAGGAGTTGACAGAGCTTAAAAGTCTAAAAGGTCTTGCCAACCCCTGCCTTGGGCTGGTGAGTTCCAGCCTCCATGGAGTTGCACAGTGTCTTACTGTCCAGGATTTGCATTGTGACTTCATTTCTCCTAGAAGGGTCAAAATTAATAGTGAATTAATTAATGTAACTAGAAATATTTAAACTATTGGGATTTGGCTTTCAAGATACTAACTTTCTGTTTTCTATGATGTCACTCTACACTGACTAACTTCTAAATACATTGCCAGTGAATTTCCTTCATGGGTCGGATGTTGGAGGCTGGATAGGTAGCTTCCAGCACTGCAGAAGAATATGAGGATGCCTCGGAGGCACCACACATTTAGAGATGTAGCAATGTTCTGCTGTATTATGAATAAATAAATATGAGTCGTTCATGCACAGGATAGGTTTTCTCCTTATGCAGCACTTACGTTACACATGCTGGGATCTCAGATGACTATTCTACTCTGGCCCACAAGAACAGCATAACCTGGAGATCAAAGTATAGAACTGATTTGGTCTCTACCATATTAAATGTGACACATTTTTTTCCATAATAAGTTAACTATCACGAATCTTTTGAAGTAGGGGATACGCTCTTTCATGATACAATCATAGAGTAATACAGGGCTACACAGAGAGAATTCTTTTTATAGTCTAAATTCCTCAGATTGCTGGTGAGAAAACGGAGGCTTAGAGAGGTTAAATGATTAGACCAAGTTTACATAGCTAATGAGCTGCAGGGCAGCGACTGGGAGCCAGGTGTACCTACTTCAAGCTGGAGTGTCTCCTCTCCGGTAAGTTTAAGATGGCTCTGCTGGTTTAATTAAAACTCTTGTTTTTTTCCCCCTTCTTTTGTTTCTTAGAGTTGGAAAAGTTCCTGGCTAAGTTTGGACAGGATGCACAAAGAATAGAAGATTCTGTGCTGATTGGATGCTCCGAACAGCATGAAGCATGGTTTGCTCTGGATCTAGGTCTAAATAGCTCCTCTTCTGTAAATGGTACACGTTTTTCCTAATGGGTATTTATTTCCCTGTGGTTCTCAGACTTTGTGATTTTACTTGATAGTAAATTAAAATAAAAAATTTTGGAATACAGAAATATCAACTTTGTATTTTAAGTTAGAACATAAAAAGGCACTACCATCGCCCAGCTGGCGTGGCTCATGGGTGAGTGGCGACCTATGAACCAGGAGGTCATGGCTCGATTCCCGGTCAGGGCACATGCTTCAGTTGCGGCTCGATCCCCAGTACAGAAGGTAGCCGATCAATGATTCTTTCTCATTGACGTTTCTCTCTCTCTCCCTTGCCCCTCCTCTCTGGAAAAGAAACAAAAACCCACTACCATCTACTATCATTTAAAAGAAAATAAAGGAATTTTAATACTTTCTAAGGTAGATGGTGAGTACAAAGATGTTCATTGTATTATTCTCTGTCCCTTTATACACTTAATGTCATACATATTTCATAAGAAACGATTTTAAATTTATGACATCATTTTTGTATCTCTTATCAATGCAAATGAATAAACATGTTACCTTGAAGTCGCTCTGGGTCTTCCGACCTGCGTCTGGGAACCAGCTTGCTGTAGGCTCATGGCTCCTATCAGGCCTTTCTTCACTTTCCAGGGTGCGGATGCGAATGTCATGATGCTGAGTGAGGTTCAGAGAGTTTAGAGGTCCCCTGTCATCTTTTTTCCAGGGAGAGTGTGTGGCTAGTACAACTGTTCTTATTGCCCGAAGACAATCTTGTGAAATAGCACTATGCTGTTTCCCAAATTTGCCTGAATATGAGAATCACCTGGTACTTGTTAAAAAATAAAGATTTCTGGCCTCACTCACTTGTTCAGAATTTCCACGTGGGGGCTTGAAAGCCTGTATATAAAGGGTGTCCCCCAAAAATGTATACACAATAACAGCTAATTTCTATCACATTTTGAAAATGAAATGTATTCTAATTAACACTGCCTTTATAATTATTTAAAGTGTGTATACATTTTGGGGGGACACATTTTGAATAGTTATAAAGGCAGTGTTTATTAGAATACATTTCATTTTCAAAATGTGAACTACCAGCTGTTAAAGTGTGTATACTTTTTTGGGGACACCCTATATATTGATTTTAGAGAAACACTGATTTGTTGTCCCATTTATGCATTCATTGGTTGATTCTTGTATGTGCCCTGGCCGGGGATTGAACCCAAAACCTTGGTGTATCGGGGATGACGCTCTAACCAAGTGAGCTACCCGGCCAGGGCTGAGAATCTGTATATTTTTTATTTTTCCTAGTTGAGTCTTATTAGGCGAGTTTGGGAAACACTGTTCTAACAGATATACCTGAGGAGGGGCCCTGAGGCAGTTTGCCATTTGTTTCATTTCATTCTCTTTTCTAACTTCCTAGCTTCCTTACAGAAACCTGAAATGGAGACGGAGCTCCAGGGGTCTTTCATTGAGCTGCGGAAGGCTCTCTTTCGGCTGAACGTGAAGGATGCCTCCTTGCTGTCCACGGTAGGTGCCGATTCCTCAGTTCATAGGAAATAGTGAAGCCGTGCGTAAGGGCAAATGCATGCACAAGCGAGAGCTACGCTCGATTTCTTCCTTTGCAAATTCTAGCTCTTCCTACAAACCGTGGCAGAAGGACATTGTGCTGTGGGGAGAGTGCCTGTTCCTTTCTTTCGCCCGGTGTTTGGCAGGATTGCCATCAGGAACACTTTCCCCTCAGGACATGCCAATCTGTGGTATCGATCAACCTCCTAAACATGTTCAATGACCCACAGCATGTCACATGCATTTTGTTTTTCCTATGAGAAATTATTTTTTATTGCTTTGACTCATCCTCACAGCTTTACACTTCACTTGCTAAAGTGCTTTTGATTATCCATTTAATTTAGAGATATCTCTAAACATTTTTTATTTGCAAGAACACCCCAACTTTATTGAGGAGGAATACATGTTGGAATGTTTCATATTGGCAATGTTTTATTTTTAAACTGGGTCATAGGTACATGGAGTGTTTCATACTTTATATATTACATTTTTAAAAATAATTCATAATATACTTGAACTATACTTTCTTTTATTCATGTTTCAGATGATGGAGGGATATGCTCAGTAGTTTCCGTACTTTAAAGTTTAGACAGTTAATAAACCATTTAGAATAGAGGAACTGAAAAGGCACTGGCATTTCCCTCCGAGTTGCCCAGCACTGTCCTAGATGAGCCCCACACTCTCTAAACGAAACCAAGCCCACCTTCGCATTCCTAGGCGCAGGCTCTCCTCCGCTGGCATGATGCTCATCAGTTCTGCAGCAGAAGTGGGCAGCCCACCAAGAAGAATGTAGCTGGCAGCAAGCGTGTGTGCCCTTCCAGTAAGATCATCTATTACCCGCAGGTGAGTGCTGCTGCGGGACAGGAGTCCAAGAAGCTGTGCGGCTCTGTCCTGGGGATGGAGCCTGTACGATGCAAGGCTTTCCTTAGTGATTCATTCCTTCATCCTCCTTCCAGGCGCCATAGCCCGCCTAAGTTGCCATCCCCTTTTCCTAGATGGCTCCCGTGGTGATCACTCTGGTGTCAGACGGGACTCGATGCCTGCTTGCCCGCCAGAGTTCCTTTCCCAAGGGAATGTACTCTGCCCTGGCGGGTTTCTGTGACATAGGTAAGGAGTTTAGAGACACGACAGCATATTGACAGTAGTTATTTCTCTGTGTTGCTGTCATAGTGCTTGGAGCCTCAAGCACCTTCTTCCCTGTCATGTCAAGAAAACGGCCCCTGGCATTATAATTTTCCAATATTTTACAGGCAAACTTTCAAACATGCAGCATAGTTGAAAGAACTATACAGTGAAAACCCATACACTCACCACATAGATTCTATAATCTCTTACATTTACTTTATCACATATCTGTCCATCCATTCCTCTATCCATCAGTCCTCCTTATTTTTTTTTTTTTTAAATATATTTTATTGAGTTTTTACAGAGAGGAAAGGAGAGAGATAGAGAGTTAGAAACATCGATGAGAGAGAAACATCGACCAGCTGCCTCCTGCACACTCCCCACTGGGGATGTGCCCGCAACCAAGGCACATGCCCTTGACCGGAATCGAACCTGGGACCTTTCAGTCCGCAGGCCGACGCTCTATCCACTGAGCCAAACCGGTTTCGGCAGTCCTCCTTATTTTTTGATGCACAGATTGCAGACATTAGTACACATCTCCCTAAATATTTCAGCGTGCATAATATTAACTAGAATTAGTTTTCTCAGTCTATTGGGGTAAAATTTGCAAATCGTGCTGTCGCATTAGAATTTTATGAAAACTGACAGCAGCAGTAACCACTCCCACTGCCCCTCTATTTTGTGTTATAACTACCCTAGTAGGTTTAAGTATTGCAGTTCAACACCCAACTCTAGACTTGATTCCCATTGTTGGAGAGACTCAGAGATTTCAGGCTCTCCCAAGAGTATTTTCATTGAAGCTTTGGGGCCAGTTTTGCGCTCGTTCACAAATGGGCATCTGTATCACCCCTCCTGCTGCAGGGCTGTCCTGAATTAATCTGAGTGCTTGTAGGTGAAACTCTGGAAGAGGCTGTCCAGCGAGAAGTTGCAGAAGAGGTGGGATTGGAGGTGGACAGACTGCAGTACTCTGCATCCCAGCACTGGCCCTTTCCCAATAGCTCACTCATGATTGCTTGTCATGCAATTGTGAAACCAGGGCAGACGGAGGTAAGTGCTGCCTCCCGAATGCTCTGACATTTCCTTTGCCTCATCTAAGCTTGTCAGTAGGTACTTAAACAACGTCTAGTTTAACACTGTCTAGATTGTACAAAGATGCATAAGAAATGATTTATATCCTTAAGGAATTTTCAATCTCGTAAAGAAAAGAATCACCACGAAAACTGGGAGTGCCAACATGGTCACCGTCCTTCCTTGTACATATCTCAGTCACGAGACAACTTACCTTTCATCATCAGGACTTAACAGAGCATCTCGCATAGATTAGGCACATCATATATCAAATTTAATTATTGATTTCAAGATTGATCTTATTGCTCAAGTCAATCAGGATGCTGAGCACTGATTATTATTATTATCATTACATAATAATAATGATTATGGGGACTTCTGGTTGAAAGGCACTTATCCAACCTCATCTTCTACAGCATCCCTTACAGATGGCATTGTGGTCCCTATCTACCAAGTCTGTCTATTGTGTTTTGGTTTCTATGGAATGAATACTATCTAATCTGCCTCAGCTTCCTGTGGATTCAGTTTGTTCTACTTTGCTCCTTGCAAAGATACAATGACTTTGATTATCATTAAAGAAGAGAAACATTTGTATGGTTATACAAGCAATTGAGGCACAAAGCAAATAAGTATTATTCATAATTTACCCCTCTATGCTAACCACTCTTAAGATTTTCGTATTTGTACTTCTGGGTTTTTACTATTAAAAATATATTTAACTCTCATCTCTTATGTATGCCTCTTTTGCTGCTGGGCAATATCTAGAATTGATTTGTCCCCAGCCTATGGATCCCAGGTAATACCTTCTAAGATAGCTCAGTTCTAGAACTGTTTTCTCACCTTTGGCCATAGAAGTCTAACTTTTGTAGCTCCCAGTCTTACATTCTGTTTTTCCTCATGTCTTTCAGATCCAGGTGAACCTGAGAGAACTAGAAGCAGCTGCCTGGTTTAGTCATGATGAGGTGGTCGCAGCCCTGAAGAGAGACCGCCCATATGCTCAGCAACAGGATGGGACTTTCCCGTTCTGGCTGCCCCCTAAGTTAGCCATCGCCCACCAGCTGATTAAGGAGTGGGTGGAAAAACCGACCTGCCCCTCCCTGCCTGCTTAGCTCAGGTCACCCAGGTCCCTCCTCAGTATCCCGGCGGGAGGGAGGGCACATCAAAGATCTGCTGAAAAGGGGAAGGTGACAAAAGGCCATACCCAACCAAATTCATATTAAGGCAGAGAAGGTGAGCCTACAGCAAGACACCTCTACCAGCAGAGTTAATGAAAGAAGTTCCTACTCCTAGGCAACCAAAAACGCCAGCGTGAGAAGAAAAATGAATGAGATGGCAATTGTCAAAATCAGAGGGAAGGTGAAGCTCTACTTTCGATGTGGGCCCTTGTTTACCCATTTTCTCCGAGGCCTTGGGAGTAAACATCTTTTGGCATGTGGCTTGTTAATGCTGGGTTTATATCTAACTGCCAAAATGTGCCTGGTGTAATTTTGGTTAAAACTTTTCTCTGAGTATTGAAAATATGTAGCAAATCTCAACCCACTGAATTACTTTTTGTCCTCATAGAATGAAGACAAATAGCACAACCTAACATTTTTGAAATCATGTACAGGTAATTATTTTGTTCATGGTAGTTAAATAGAAGTCCTGTTTCTTTAAGTCACCTGAAGGGATGCAGAAGGTGGGAGCTAAGGTCTCCCCAGGGTCCTCTGTAATAAATCGGGTGCAATGAGGTTCTGTTGACATAACTGCATCCCAGTGGGCCGCAAGGCGGTAAGTCTTTTTTTGCTGTTACTTGCTCAGTTTGTAACATAAGGAAGTGATTATCACTTTGCCATTCGTTTCCCTAAGTGTAAAATGGTTGCTGCTATTTGCATATCCAGTAAGTGTTGTAACTTAAACTAAGGGATTAGTGAGGATGAACCATTTCTTGAGTTTTATGGGACAAACTAAATTTAGGAATTCTCATCATTCATATATGCCATTTTATACCTTGTCATAGGGGAGAAGAATTTATCTGGAGGAAATAAAATAAATTTATATACCTCTGTTTAGATGTATTTTTCTGTCTTATGAAGAGAAGAAATTGCAGAAAGTGAGAATCTGGAGGGGGCGGGAGAAAAGGAATCTCTGTATTAGTGTGACAGGTGTTTAAGTCCAGGTTCCAAGTCTGTGGAAACTGAAGCAATGTGCAGAAGAAACGCTGTCGGAGGCCAGTTTGAAAAGAATGGATGTCTGGGGAAAGAGCTGTATCCTCAGATGATTTCAGGCACTACCTTGTGATTAAATACATGAGTGCCAGAAAACCCAAGATGATGCATACATCAAAGTTCCATAGGACTAGGAAAAAGAGCTTCTAGAACTAGAAAAGTTAAAGCACTGAATTTCCTATTGAAACCAAAAGGTTACTGCTGTCACTGTTGCCAGCAAACCATCATTGCTTTGGACATCAAAGTACCTTCGTCAGGAAATGGCGGGGGATAGTCTGAGATGGGACTTGCTTGTCCTGCTAGATTGGCAGCTTGCGCTGACCCGAGCTGAACCCAGCATGTAGACGGGAAAAGCACTCTCCAAAGAGAGGTCCCGAGATTTCCCCATATCTTGCAGTCAGAAGAAAACAGTTCAGGGTCCATGTGTATTACCGTCTCCCAATCTTTTCTATCTCTATGTGGGTGTGTTTGTGAGCACATGTGTACACATCCCTGGTCTGAAAATACAGGATAGGAAGGGGAGGGTGTGTGTTTCTCAAATGTACCATGGAGTAACTGTTTGCTTTTGGATTAATGTGTTGTTTTGGAAAAGAAAAGATGAGAGTGGCTAACAGGAGGAGCTGCACCATTGAACTTTGTTTACCAGCAGAGTGGGAAGAGAGCTTTGCTTTTCAGAACTCCAAGGATATCTGAAAGTTGAGGCAAAAGAGGACAAGGTTAGGATACTGCAATTGACATAAATAGAAGGAACTTTGGTACAGGCCTTTCCTGGCTGGAGAATATTTATGTGGCAATTAATGATGAAGGTGCTAAGGATAAAAAGAACCCACTGGGTCTATGAAGTAGAATAGTAAAAACAAGTTAAACATTAAAATCAGTGTATTTGTCACCAGAGTGAGCCTGGCTCAAGGTCATTCCTGGTAACTGGAATAAGAAAGCAACTCATTCCTTCCTTATTTTTTACTATCTTCCTTTCTCTACCCAACATTTAGTCCTCAATAAAAATAAGTAATGTTCTAAACATGGACTATGTGAATGTCATCTCTTCTTCTGACTTCAAAACCTGTGCGGCCTCCTGGAGATCACAAAGACCCTGGCAGAGAGGACAACACTTGAGAAGTCAACCAGTGAAACTTGTAATGAGGAAATATATATTTTTTAATATATATATTTTTTGATTTTACGGAGAGGAAGGGGGAGGGATAATCAGAACTATCGATGAGAGAGAAACATCGATCAGCTGCCTCCTGCATGCCCCCTACTGGGGATGTGCCTGCAACCAAGGTACATGCTCTTGACCAGAAACCAGGGACTCTTCAGTTCGGGGGCTGACTCTCTATCCACTGAGCCAAACCGGTGAGGGCTGAAGAAATATTTTTTACTAAATGAGTACTCTAAACTAGAAAGGAGCACACTCCGGTTCAATATTTATTTAAAAGAGAAACGACAGGCTCAATGGGCTGGTTGGTCTTCCGCTGGCTTACGTGTGGGTCTGGGGTCAGTGTTGTCCGGCAGCTGCACCCCCATGCTCTGTAAGAGGTTGGAAGCCGGTCCGGCCAGTCCGGCCTGGGAACTGTACGACTCCAATATATTTGAAACCAGGTTTAGGTCTACATCCACCGGCGTCATACCAGAGTCTCCTGCACCAGAATCTTCCTCATCTGAATTGCTATTGGTAGTCTGGGCTAGAGATTCCTTATTCATGGAGGGAAAGAAAATCATGGGATAATATGTCAATAGGCTGTGGTGGTTACAATGCAAAACTAACCAACAATGGAAAATTGAATTCCAAATTACTCTTCTTGATAGAAAGTAAAAATGAAGTCTAATAAACTATGTAATTTAACACATATACTAAAATTTAGTTCCAAAGACTGTAATACACTTCTTTCTAGTAAAAGTTTCTACAAATTGAATGACTTTCTTCCCTATTCTGAAATAGCCTAAGGGAGATAACCAGGGTTAAAGACGTACATTTATACGGTGCCTAACAGTTTTAAAAAAATAAACATAAAAACAAACATTTTTAAAAAGAATGTAAATTTTTTCCTAAGTAAAAGAAACTAAATTTTCTTTTTCCCAATGAAAAAGCAAAGTAAAAACCTGGCGCTTCTTGGGGTTGAACCACAAAGACTCTGCATTGTTACTCGAGCCTCTGATTTCACAGGTTGGGGGAGGATTTGAAAGATGCAGCTTGATCTGCTCAAAGTGGTCCGTGGACCAGTAGCATGTGCATCGCCTCAGAGCTTGTTAGAAACGTAAAATCTGAGGCCGCACCTCAGACATACTTAACCAGAATCTACATTTGAATATGGTTAGGTGACTCATATTCGCACCACCACTTAAGAAACACTGCTTTAGATAAATCTAATGTATGGTTTCTATTAGGTTCTGGCACTATTAAAAGTGGTTATAATTTGCCCTGACCAGTTTGGCTCAGTGGCTAGAGCATCGGCCTGTGGACTGAAGAGTCCCAGGTTCGATTCCGGTCAAGGGCATGCACCTTGGTTGCGGGCAATCCCCAGTAGGGGGTGTGCAGGAGGCAGCTGATGGATGTTTCTCTCTCATGGATGTTTCTAACTCTCTATCCCTCTCCCTTCCTCTCTGTAAAAAAATCAATAAAATATATATTAAAAAAAAGTGGTTATAATTTTAAATGTGGTTTAGATGATCAAAACAAGGGAATAACATTAATTAAGGTCCATTATGAGTTTTACTGTTGTCTCATTTGGTTCTATGACATGAGGATTATTTATTAATGGACAGTCACAGAGATGGATTTCAAACACTCATCCATGAGATGCCTCTTTGTCTAGTATTATAGTGCTGGTATAATCAGTAGGATTAAAACACGAATGGGAGATGAATTCTACATTTGGCTCTAAATTAGGGAAACTTACAAATCAAATACTATTAAGATTTCAAAAATATTTGGGTATTTAGAGACATTTCTTCTTTTTAAAAAAATCAATGTAAGCTCTTAGTATCACATACTAATTTCAACACATCACATGACATTATTTTAAATCCTGATAGATAACAAAGTAATATAATTAAGCTTATTTTAGGAAAATAAAGTTAATAATCCCTCATCCAACCAGAGGTAGGAAAAATTAGTATTCTTATTTATTTCAAATTTAAAAAATCAAATTTATCACAAAAAAAATGATCACAAACAAAAAACCCCACTAAGATAGAATATGTTTTTAGCAATCCTTTGTAATAGACTCAGAAAGGAAAAGAAGTTAAACACACACATACCATTTGCTTCTGGGTGGCGAAACTTTTGCCAATGCTGGTATGTGCCAGTTCCCGGTCCATCTGGGCCATGTATGACTTGAGATCATCAAGTGTTCCTTTTACAGATGCTTCTTCCCCAGGTTCCTGTGTTTCAAAATCCAAGTCATCATCACTTTCTAAAGATTCAAAGTCTTCCTCATCCTGGTCATCGGAGTCTGATTCAGGAGGCCTTGGTCCTACATCCCAACACAGAAAATGCCACTTGGTAAAAAATTTTGAGTGATTATACCTCCCAAAAGACTTAGAATATTATTTGCAGAAAAGAACCAATATACACAGGTAAACTCCTTCACAAAATCACTTCCAGAAAATGGTACTGCTGGCAGATATTTGCAGTAAAGCACACAAGCTGAAATGAAAGATTCAACTCTTTTTTTTACACTTGATCTTAGCCAAAAGGCCGAGAAGCGATCAACTCTTTTTTTTAAAGTGAATTAATTCACTTAAAAATGTAAAAACTATGATATGCATGAATAGATTTTTAAAAAAATATATTTTTATTCATTTCAGAGAGGAAAGGAGAGAGAGAGAAAGAAACATCAATGAGAGAGACTCATTGATCGGCTGCTTCTTGCATGCCCTCTACTGGGGATCAAGCCTGCAACCCAGGCATATGCCCTTGACCAGGAATTGAACTGTGACCTCTTGGTTCACAGGTCAACGCTTAACCAATGAACTACACCAGCTGGGCTGCATAAATACACTTTGATGTGAACATTCATGTGAACTGTCTCGGCAGGCTAGGGACATGCAGACGGGATGCTCAGAATTACTGCCTCACATTTCACTCTCTTCCTTGAGTTAGGCATCTTTTAACAGTTTGGTGACTATCCAGACCTTTATGCAGCTCTGTCCTCATTACCAAGCATTTCATAATAGGGTATACAGCTGACCCTTGGACAATGCATAAAACTTTCGACTTCCCGAAAACATTACTAATAGCCTACTGTGGACCAGAAGCCTTAACGATGACACACACAGTTGATTAACATATATTTTGTATGTTATATGTATTATATACTGAATTCTTATGATAAAGAAGGCTGGAGAAAAGAAAGTGTTAAGAAAATCATAAGGCAGAGAAAATACATTTACAGTATTTATGTGTAAGTGGACCCATATGGTTTAGTCCCATGTTGTTCAAGGGTCAGCTGTACTATAATTTATTTAACCATTTCCCTTGTGATAGACATTTAGGATATTCCAATTTTTCTGCTACTACAATGCTGCAGTCGTCATCTTAGCACATATATCTTTTTCATAGAGTATTGTTAAGGCAGCCCTAATCGGTTTAGCTCAGTGGATAGAGCATTGGCCTGCGGACTCAAGGGTCCCAGGTTTGATTCCAGCCAAGGGCGTGTACTTTGGTTGTAGGCACATACCCAGTAGGGAGTGTGCAGGAGGTAGCTGATCGATGTTTCTCTCTCATCGATGTTTCTAACTCTCTATCCCTCTCCCTTCCTCTCTGTAAAAAATCAATAAAATATATTTTTAAAAAAAGAAATTGCTAAGGCAAAGGTTATAAACATTCTAGAGTACCAAACTGCCCTGAGGAAAGATGACTTACACTTCACCCCCCTCCCCCGCTTTGAACAGTGCTAATTTCTCTAACTCCTGAGAAAACTGGTTATCATCATTCTTTTAAATTTTTGCCAATATGGTGGGCAAAAAGTAATCTCTTATTTTTACTGTGTATTTACTTGCATACTAGAAACAGTTAACTATTTTCAAATATTTATTAACTATATTTCTTCTTCAAGGCTATACCTTTTCATATCCATTGTTGATTTCTCTTATTGGGCTATTTGGCTATTATTAGTGTGTAAGTGCAGTAAGTATAAAAGAGAAAAAATAATGTAATATGGGAGCCAAGGTAAACTCTAACACACAGCATTCACTCATTCAACAAATCCTATATAATAAAGAGCTAATATGCTAATTAGACCGGACAGCAGAACGACCGTTTGGACCACCTTCTGGAACTAGTGGGCAGGGCCGCGAGGCAGCCGGGGCTGCGATGGGCCGAGCCTCTTGCACGAATTTCGTGCATCTGGCTTCTAGTATTTAAGCAACTACTTCTAAGCAACTACTGTGTTAAGCACTGAGCTAAACATCCTCTGCAGAATCATTCAAGACAGCAGGAATTCACTGTTGAAAGCAACTCAAAATTATGAAGAGAAAGCATTGTTTTGTCTTCCGAAAGATCTAATGCTCCACTAGTAGTAGTACCCATACTACTTTCAAAATGAAAACAAACATCACACTGTAACTTACCTAAAATCTTATCAAAATAATTAAGGAAAGAATCTGCATCAAAAGTGATTGGAGTTTCAGAAGGGTCTCTGCAAAATTAAAGGAAAAAACAATGTATCTAGAACATAACTCTTTGAAACTTTTTCTAAAGTCCCATTCTTAGGAACACTACTAGAGATATAACCTCAAAAGAGGTGCAACAGGAAAACTGTAGTTTAAATTTTATTTATTTAAAAAACATATATTTAAATATATTCTTATTGATGTTAGAGAAGAAGGGAGAGGTAGAGAGAAACAACAATGAGAGAGAATAATTGATTGGCTGCCTCCTGCACACCCCTCAGTGAGGATCAAGCCAGCAACTCGCTCGGAATTGAGCCCAGGACCCTTTAGTCCGCAGGTCAACACTCTATCCACTGAGCCAAACAGGCTAGGGCTAAAATATATTTTTAAAAATATACATATATTTTTATTGATTTCAGAGAGGAAGGAAGATGGAGAGATAGGAACATCAACGACGAGAGGAAATCATTGATCGGCTGCCTCCTGCACACCCCCTACTGGGGACTGAGCCCACAACTTGGGCATGTGCCCTGATCGGGAATCAAACTAGTAATCTTCTGGTGCACGGGCTGACGCTCAACCAACTGAGCTACACCAGCTGGGCAGTAGTTTAAATTTTAAAAATCCTTATACTTACTGGTCTTGCAGGGCAACAGAAATGGGAAATACTGATAAAATCAAAGTAAAAATTGCACTTTGTTTATGCACATTTAACTTTAAGCTCATTTAAGGATCTACCCCCCTTTTCAAACTCCTACAAGATATAGCTAACATTAGCCAAAAAAAGTTCTTTAAGAACCAAATCTTTAAAAATGATTAAGAACAAACTTTCCTTTACCCCTGCTGTTTTGAAGAGAGAATATTGAACATAAATTGTAGTCATCTCATGAGCTCCACAGCATCAACATTGATAAAGATATTTTTGCTGTGCAAGTAATAATTCCATCTATCTTTTCCCCCCATTACTTGCTAAATATAAGTTCCCAATTCTTCTATTATTTCCTCCCACTCTTTTGAGTTGAAGCTTCCAATACACAGGTGGGAGATGAGAAGTCTGAACTTGCTGAGAGCTGGATGTGAGGAGCCCATAAGGTTCTGAGCAGAAGTTGAAAGAGTAAAGTGCACATTTGCCCTGAACCGCTCTGAGATGGTGGCTTTGAGATTGCAAAGGATAAGATCACTAGAAACCTGACTCCAGATAAGTAAATTATGCTACTAGATACCAAAACAGGAAAACAAAGCATTACAAACCATTTACTTAAAAAAAAAAAAAGTGTGCACTTGGCAGTGACGGATGACTTCAGCATCTCGGTTACGACTACAGGGATGTACTTCAGCACAAATTACCGAGGCAGCTCTGCGCCTTTGTGGGTGGAGACTTTGGACAGGAAAGCTTTCATGCTCTTTGAGACTCGAGTTAAGTCGTAGTGCTCCTTCTCCTCGGAAATGGGCTCTGGGTCTCTTTTGCCAGCAGCTTCTTGCAGGAGCTGGTCCAGCTGATCTGGTGAGAGATCTAACCACTGGTCATCTGAAAGGAGAAAGCGTGATGCTGCCATACCACATTCACATGAAAGCTTCTCTCGGGGAAGGACCCTCTGAGACTTAGTGGAATGTTTTAATTTGTCCTAACCCATCTGCTCTCTCCTGGCCCTTCACTTACCATCTTCTGGGGGAAGATTAGCTTCTTCTTTCTTAAGCTCTTCGATATCAAATGGTAATGTCTGCAATAAGGTTAAGATTTCTTCACCTGGGCTCATAGCAACAGAGCTATAAAAAAAAGTAATTTTTTTATAAGAGCACTCACTCAGAATAATAATCACAAAAACACAGCATTTTAAAGTTGCAAGGAATAACCTAGTCTAATTTGCTTTTCAAATACAGACCCCACCCTAGCCAGTGTTGCTCAATGGATAGAGCATCGGCTGGCAGACCAAAGGGTTCCAGGCTCGATTCCAATCAAGGGCATGTACGTTGGTTGCAGGCTCCTCCCTGTCCGAAGCCCTGGTCAGGCACATGCAGGAGGCAACCAACAGATGTGTTTCTCTCACACATCGATGTTTCTCTCTGTCTTTCCCTCTCTCTTCCACTCTCTCTAAAAGTCAATGGAAAAATATCTTCCAGTGAGGATTAACAGAAAAGATACAGACCTCCTTTTCTCAAATAAAATTTACCAAGAACTCTAAAATATAAAAAAGCTCAAAGAAAAACTGCTTTATACAGCAAATAAAACCATCAACAAAATGAAAAGGCCACCTGCTAAGTGGGAGAAAATACTTGTAAAACATATATCTGATAAGGGGTTAACATCCAAGATATATACAGAATTCATACAACTCAAAAGTGAAAAAAAACCCAAACAATCCAATTTTTAAAATGAGGGGAATGGGGGACATCTGTAACACTTTCAACAATAAAGATAAATTTAAAAAAATAAAAAATGGGCAAAGGTAGAAAGAAATAAAACTGTCATTATTTGCAGATGACATGATTATAGAGAAACCTAAATATTCCACCAAAAAACTACTAGAACTGATCAATGAATTCAGTAAAGTAGCAGGATACTAAATAAATATCTAGAGATCAGTTGCATTTTTATTCAACAATAATGAAGTATTAGAAAGGGAAACCAAGAGAACAATCCCATTTACAATTACATCAAAAAAAAAGAGAAAAGACCTAGGTATAATTTAACCAAGAATGTAAAAGACCTACACTTGGAAAATTATAAGACCCTGAAGAAAGAAACTGAAGAAGATACAAATAAGTGGAACAAGTAAGTGTTCACGAAGAGGAAGAATTAGCATCATCAAAATTTTCATACGACCCAAAGCAACCTATAGAGTCAACACAATTCCTAGCAAGTGTATTTCACAGAACTAGAAAAAATATTCCAAAAATTTATGTGGAACCATAAAGGAACCCAAATAGCCACAGCAATCTTAAGAAAGAAGAACAAAGTCAGGGGAATCATGCTACCTGATATCAAACTATACTATAAGGCCATAGTAATCAAAACAGCATGGGTGAAAAAGGTGAAGGGATTAAACAACAAAAAGACCTCACATACACACACACACAAACAAAAAACATGCAACAACAAAACTCATAGACAAAGACAACAGTATGGCAATTACCAGAGGGAAAGGGTGGTGGGGGAGGCAGAAGAGGGTAAAGGGAGGATAAATGGTAATGGAAGGAGACTTGACTTGGGGCTTGAACACACAATACAATATTCAGATGATGTATCATAAAATTTTACCCCTGAGAACTAAATATTTTTATTAACCAACTAGAGGCCCGGTGCACGAAATTTATGCATGGTAGGGGGCTGTCCCTCAGCCCAGCCTGCAACCTCTCCAATCTGGGACCCCTTGGGAGATGTCTACCTGATGGTTTAGGCCTGATCCCAGTTCGGGCCTAAATTGGCCGGTGGACATCCCTCTCACAATCCTGGACCGCTGGCTCCTAATTGCTCACCTGCCTGCCTGCCTGGTCGCCCCTAACTGCCCCACTTGCCTGCCTGCCAGCCCGGTCGCCCCCAACTGCCCTCTCCTGCTGGCCTGATCGCCCACAACTGCCCTCCCCAGCCGGCCATCTTGTGATGACGTGAGGGCATCACGCGAGGGCACAAGGGCCTCCTAGGTTTGATTAGTATAAACGTCACCCAAATAAATTCAATTAAAAATTTTTTTTAAATGGGCAGAGGAACTAAATAGATATTTTTCCAAAGAAGACATACAAATGGCTAACAGGTACATGAAAAGGTGCTTAACATCACTAATCATCAGGGAAATGGAAATTAAAACCATAGTAAGATATTACCGCATAACTTTTAGCATGGCTTATCAACAAGACAAGACGTAACAAGTGCTGGCAAGACTGTGGAGAAGAGGGAACCCCTGTACACATTTGGGGGGGGGATGTAAATTGGTAGCCACTACAGAATACAGTACGGAGACTCCTCGAAAATTAAAAACGGAGCTCCCACATGAACCAGCAATTCCACGTCTGGTATTTATTCAAAGGAAATGAAAATAGAATATTGAAAATATGCCTGCACGCCCATGTTCATTGCTGCATTATTCATAGTAGCCAAGATATGGAAACAACCTAAGTGTTCATCAACAGATGAATGAACGAAGATGATGTGTGTGTGTGTATGTGTGTGTGTATGTATATATATATATGTATGTATGTATATATATATATATACATACATACATATATATATATAGAATGTTACTCATTCATGAGAGAGAAGGAATCCTGCCATTAGCTACAACATGATGGAACTTGAGGGCATTATGCTAAATGGAATAAGCCGGATAAAGAAATGCAAATACTGCATGGTATCACCTATACATGGAATCTAAAAAACAAAGTCCAACTCATAGGAACACCGAGTGGAAAAGTGGATGAGGCAAATAGGAAGGAGTTGGTAAGAGGGTAAACTTTTAGCTAGAAGATGACTTTTGGCTTAGGAGCTAATGTAAAACATGACTACAGTTGATAAGACTGTATTATGTAATTGAAATCTGCTAAAATAACAGACCTTAAATTTTTTCACCAAATAAATAAATAATTGAGGTGATAGATGTGTTAAATAACTGGTTGGGGGAATCCTTTCATAATGTATACATATATTAAATCACCACAATGTATGCTTCAAAGATCTTACAATTTTGTCAATAAAGCTGGAAAAAGGTCTCGCTTTGGCTGAAATGGAGGCTGGAGACTCAGAGACCTACCTACTCTGTCTTCCCTCTGTCTCTGTAAGCTCCATAGAAGATCATTATGAAGCTGCTGATCTAGTATAACACCTTTTTCAATTTGTATTTATGTTATATATGAGGAAAGAAAACCCAGAGGGGTATGAACAAAAAGTAAAACAGGTATTATATGTTAGACTAGCACTTAAAAATACATTTTCTTATTCAGTCCTCTAATTACTATCCTCTTTTAAAGATGAGAAAATCAAAGTCCAGGGAGTTCTACAACTTTTGGGAAGTCATTTCAGCAGTCTGTGGACCACTGGCGGTCTGTGAGGTCCGAAAGGTTGGCGACTGCTGAAAGTGGCCTGAAATCAAGCCTTCTGACGCTATTTTGTGCTCCTCCTACTAAATACTGATGAGGAAATATGCACTGAGATTTTTACATGAATGAGCTATTTTATGACGGTGATGTGACTTGTTATATAAATTCATAGAACCCTGTCTGAACTATTCAGAAAGGAACAAATCAAGTTATATAATGAACTTGCCTTCATTTGATAAATATTTGCATGCCTTGCTAAATCACATTGGTGATAAAAATATTGTCCCTACTCCATATTAGGTAAATATGACTAGGGGAGGAAAAAATTTACAAATAATAATAATAAATGATAACATACAAAATCATACAGGAATACCACATGATAGGGAAAGTCATTCACTGAGATGAAAGCAGAGAAGTTAAAAAAAAAAAGTAAGAGATGCCCTAGCTCCGTGGTCGGCAAACCGCGGCTCACGAGCCACATGCGGCTCTTTGGCCCCTTGAGTGTGGCTCTTCCACAAAATACCACATGCGGACATGCACGTACAGTGTGACTGAAACTTCGTGGCCCATGCAGAGAAGTCGGTATTTTGTGGAAGAGCCGGTATTTTGTGGAAGAGCCACACTCAAGGGGCCAAAGAGCCGTATGTGGCTCGAGCTCGCAGTTTGCCAACCACTGTGCTGGTTTGGCCTAATGGATAGAGCGTCAGCCTGTGAACCGAAGGGTCCCAGGTTCAATTCCGGCCAAGGGCACATGCCTGGGTTGCGGGCTCAATCCCCATAGGGGGCATGCAGGAGGCAGCCAGTCAATGATTCTCTTTCATCATTGATGTTTCTATCTCTCTCCCCCTCTCCCTTCCTTTCTAAAATCAATAAAATATGTATTTTTTTTTAAAAGTAAGAGAATGGAAGTAATTGAGTTAGGCCGTAAAGAATGGGGAGGATTTTGACAGGTAAGATAGGTTAGAGAAACTTTAGGCAAGAGGAAAAAAAAGAGCATTTGTATAGAGGCAGAGAAGTGAGGAATATGTTCAGAGAGCAAGCGGCATTTGGTTTGGCTTAAGTGTGGAAGATGAGGCTGAACAGATGGATGGACTGAGATGAGAGCACAGTGAGCCTAAAAAGGTTAAGAAGTTTGGGCACAATGAAATAAGCAGTGAGTGATCAATGATGACTTCTTTGCTATTTTTACTTTTAGTTTAAGAGATTTGAATACAAACTAGTACAAAAGATAATATAACAAATGTCCATATTCCTACGACCCAGAATTATAATATTGTCATATTTACTTCTAAATACATGATTATATTTATACATTTAACATTAAAAATATCAAATTAGTAACATGTATATGTACTTTATTTTTTTAAAACTATGTCTTTATTAATTTTTAGAGAGAGAGGAAGAGAGAGGGGAAGAGAGAAACATTGATTGGCTGCCTCCTATGCACACTCCAACTGGGGAGCAATCCTGCAATATGGGTATGTGCCCTGACCGGGACTCGAACTTGCAACTTTTCAGTGCACAGAGCCATGCTTTTATCTATTAAAAACATATATAAAGCTACTATTCCCTGTGATGACCAGCACCACCAGTGCCAATCCACTCTCTGCTCTAACAAGTATCCTTCTGGGCCCCTGTGTGTTTGTGGGGGTATTTCTATGTTGCATTTGCTGTTGGTTCTCTTTACCTGGAACATTATTCCCACAAAGACCTGTATGCCTCATTCCCTCACTTCGCTCACATCTCTTCTCATTGGAAGGGCCCCCTTAGCCAACCTAGCTAAAATAGCAGCCCACTTCTCTCTCCCATAGACAGCTTGTTCTTCAAAGCACTTACCACCATCTAATATCATGTAGTGGTTAACCATCTTTCTCCTACGCTAGTGTGTAAGCTCTATAAGGGCAGGCAGACTTCGGGTTTATTGGATTCCCCAGTGTCCGGAATAGGGTCTAGTACACAGGAGATACCCAAATTTATTTGTTGAATAAATGAATATATATGTGGTTTTCAACGGGGGACAATTTTGTCCCCCAGGGGACATTTGACAATGTGTGGTGACACTTTCGGTTGCCACAACTGGGGGTGGAGGGAATCCGATTGGCATTTACTGGGTAGAGGCTAAGGCAGGGGTGGGCAAACTTTTTGACTCGAGGGCCACAATGGGTTCTTAAACTGGACCGGAGGGCCGGAACAAAAGCATGGATGGAGTGTTTGTGTGAACTAATATAAATTCAAAGTAAACATCATTACGTAAAAGGGTACGGTCTTTTTTTTTTTTTTAGTTTTATTCATTTCAAACGGGCCGGATCCGGCCCGCGGGCCATAGTTTGCCCACGGCTGGGCCAAGGGATGCTGCTAGACATACTATGATGCACAGGAGAGTCACCCACAACAAAGAATTATCAGGTCCAAAATGTAAATAGTGCTGAGACTGTGAAATCCTGAATTAGCTAATCTCTAAATAAAGACATTGTAATTCATGTATCTATTATTGATAGACACTTAGATTGTGTGTAATTTTTCACTATCACAATCTCAAATACTTTTTTAGGAGAGGAGATTTATTTCAAACAGATTTTCCTGGCTCTAATAGTTGAATTGAAAGAGAAAGTAACTAGAAATTGAGAAACACATAGATATTGTCATAGCTCAAGGAATAAATAATTAGTGTAGGTGGGCAGTAAGAAAGAGGAATGCAGACACAAGATATTTAACAGGCTCTGGGGTCTCAGATTCAAGGACAGCCCAGAGGTCTGGGTGACAGAAGAATGGGGGTCCTATTAAAAGACAGTGGGGCCCAACCAGTGTGGCTCAGTGGTTGAGCATCAACCCATGAATGGGAGGTCATGGTTCAGTTTCCGGTCAGGGCACATGCTTAGGTTGCCGGCTCCATCCCCAGTAGGTGGCGTGCAGGAGGCAGCCGACTGATGGTTCTCTCTCATCACTGATGTTTCTCTCTCTCCCTCTCCTTTCCTGTCTCTGAAATCAATAAAATTTTTTTTTTAAAAAAGACAGTGGGAGGTAGTCTATGATATTAATTCAGCTATTTAAAAAATTTCAGCTATTCAAAAAATTGGAAATTCAAGAATAGGTCTGGAGGGAGATGTGAGGTTGGTTTTAAACTATTTAGAAATTATCTGGTTGAGGGAATGAAGGTCTCTCCTGCAACACAATTGAAATTTTAGACGTTTAAGCTACATGCAAGTTTTTGCCAATAGTAAAAATGTTGAGCCTTGATTTGGAAGCTGCCTGCTTCATCCTCTGTTTTATTTTTTAAGAATATATTTAAAAAAAGAAAGAATATATTTTCATTGATTTTTTTACAGAGAGGCAGGGAGAGGACAGAGAGTCAGAAACATCAATGAGAAACACCCATCAGCTGCCTCCTGCATGCCCCCTACTGGGAATAGAGCCCGCAACCGAGGTATATGCCCTTGATCAGAATCGAACCCGGGACCCTTCAGTCCGCGGGCCAGCACTCTATCCTAAACCAAACCAGTCAGGGATTCATCCTGTGTTTTAGACCTCCCTAAAATAGCTAACCACAGCCCAGAACTCCCACAGGAATTAAGCACATGGCTGGATACCAAATTGTCTGAGTGTGAGTCTTAGCTCTGTCACTTATTAGCTCTGTGTGACACTTGGCCAATTACTTAATCTCTCTTGGCCTCAGCTTCTCAGCTGTAAATGGGGAACAATAACAATCATACTTATTTCATAGGGTTGTAAGGGGGAACTAAACGAGTTCAAAGTGGCCTATGCTTTGTAAGTACTGAATACATGTTAGCTATTATCCAGTGATGATGATGGTAATAGCAATCAGTGCCAAGGATCAAATGCACAGCACCTCCTCTCCCCCAGCCCCAACCCCTTCAGTCATCATGATCCTTGCCATTAACTGTCTAAATATGTAAACTCCAATTTCTGCAACTATTCTTAAGGGAAAGCAACTTGTTAACTTCTGGCAGTTACCTTTCTGCTGCCATGATTAAGTAGTGACACACTCACCTTTCTGGCCGGTTTACTGAGAGTTGGAAGTAGTTCTTTGCCATTTCTAGTCTCTCCTGGTACTGTGCAGAACCTTCTATCAGTCCCTAAAAGATAAGAACAGCCTATCAGAACATTATTTACAGTGTCATTAACCCATTGTACACTATAAGCATCTGTAGACGCAAGCAGCGGACCTTCTCCATGCCACGTGCGTCTATTAAAAAAAATGTTTTCCCTAAGTGGCAGCCCTGACCAACTTTAAAATCATTTTTCATGAGAATTTTCAGCTGAAAATATTCAAGAACAACCAAACTGTAATATATTTATTTTTATAATATTCATTGGAAATTGATTTTTTATTTTTATTTTTTTTTAATTAAATCTTTATTGTTCAGATTATTACATTAGTTACTCTTTTTTCCCACCATAACTCCCCTCCACCCAGTTCCCACCCCAACCTCCGCCCTCACTCCCCACCCACTGTCCTCATCCACAGGTGCACGATTATTGTCCAATCTCTTCCCTCACCCCACAACCCTTCCCCCCCAAGAATAGTCCATTCCCTTTCTATGTCTCTGATTCTATTACAATTGCCAGTTCATACTGTTCATCGGATTATTTATTTCCTTGATTTTTAGATTCACTTGTTGATAGATGTGTATTTCTTGTTCATAATTTGTATCTTTACCTTTTTCTTCTTCTTCCCCTTCTTAAAGGATACCTTTCAGCATTTCATATAATACTGGTTTGGTGGTGATGAACTCCTTTAGCTTTTTCTTATCTGTGAAGCTCTTTAACTTCTGAATGATAGTTTTGCTGGATAAAGTAATCTTGGTTGTAGGTTCTTGGTATTCATCACTTTGAATATTTCTTGCCACTCCCTTCTGGCCTGCAAAGTTTCTGTTGAGAAATCAGCTGACAGTCGTATGGGTACTCCCTTGTAGGTAACCGATTTCTTTCTCTTGCTGCTTTTAGGATTCTCTCTTTGTCTTTTGCTCTTGGCATTTTAATTATGATGTGTCTTGGTGTGGTCCTCTTTGGATTCCTTTTGTTTGGGGTTCTCTGCGCTTCCTGGACCTGTAAGTCTATTTCTTTCACCAGGTAGGGGAAGTTTTCTGTCATTATTTCTTCAAAGAGGTTTTCAATATCTTGCTCTCTCTCTTCTTCTGGCACCTCTATAATTCGGATGTTGGTACACTTGAAGCTGTCCCAGAGGCTCCTTACACTATCTTTGTATTTTTGGATTCTTTTTTCATTTTGCTTTTCCGGTTGGGTGTTTTTTGTTTCTTCATATTTCAAATCTTTGACTTGATTCTTGTGATCCTCTGGTCTGTTGTTGGGAGTCTGTATAATGTTCTTTATTTCAGTCAGTGTATGCTTAATTTCTAGTTGGTCCTTTATCACAACATCGAGGGTCTCATTAGATTTCTTGAAGATCTCACTACATTTATCGGCAGTCTCACCAGTCTTTTCGAGGGCCTTATTAAGTTTATCGGTGGCTTCTAGACAGTTCTTTAAAGACCTAAAAGTGTGGTTTTGAACTCTATATCCAGCAGTTCGCTTTCCTCCCATTCTGTTGTTTGTGTCCTGTTTCTTTGTCTCGACATTTTTTATGCTTCGCTGTGTCGATAGAGTGCCTTTCTGTGCTAAGTGTCCCAATTACCTGAGGTAGACACGCTTGGTGCACCCCCTTGTGGGCTTTGTGCACAGTCTTGTTGTAGTTAAGCCTTGATTGTTGTAGGTATCACTGTGAGGAATTGACCTCCAGGCCAATTGGCTGTGAGAATCAGCTGTGTCTGCAGTGGGAGAACTTCTGTGCTGGAGACACCCCTCTGGGGGTAGACTTGCTTCAATGGGGCTTTGGTGCTCACTGAGTCTGCCCCCTGAGTGTGTCTATTATGGTTCCACGGAGCTGCAAACTGGATGGTCCCACTCTGACCGCAAATTGATTTTTTAAATTAAACTCAAAATATCGTGGCGTGTGGGGATGGTTTCCGTTTTGGATGCGTGGCAGTTAACTGGCTAAAATGACCTGCTTACCAGCAACTTTCCGGGAGGCAGAACATAGTCTATTGCTCTGGAATCATGAGGCCTGAGTCCGAGTCCCTGTCTCGTCATTAATGTACCTGTTTGGGCTCTGGTTTCTTCAAATAAGGGACTAGGTTAGAGGTAATGGTTCCTAATCATTTTCACTGTTAAGGGTCTCTTTCCAATTTGGAAGGTTTTCTGCCATTTTCTATTAATTAATTATTAAGAAATCATTGATTTATAATTTATAATTTATAAGATAAAGTACAAATAGAACCAAAATAACAGTATAATCCCACCTTAACTATGATTTTTCACATACATGCTTATAGTGGCATTTATACTTAATACTTTATACTCATTAAAAATATACTATAGCCTGGCTGTTGTGGCACAGTGGTTGAGCGTTGACCTAAGAACCAGGAGGTCATGGTTCGATTCCTGGGTTGCAGGCTCGATCCTCAGCGTGGGGTGTGCAAGAGGCAGCTGATCAATGATTCTCTCTCATCACTGATGTTTCTATCTCTCTCTCCCTTATCCTTCCTCTCTGAAATCAATAAAAAATTTAAAAATATAGATATATACTATAAGTGCTTTTACATATTGGTACACAATCTTTATAATCATATTTGTATGGACTTTTCTATTGCTTTGATGTTTCCTTAAACTACACTGTTCAAAGTGAAGGCTCTGAGTTTGAATCTTTCTTTAGCTCTTGGGACACACTACTATATTACTTTGTAGCTAAGGTTCTATATATTAATTTACAATGTTACCAGCAACGTATAGGAGTATTAATTTCACTATACTCTCAACAACACTGAATACCACTCATATCCTTTTTTACCTACATGAAAACAGTCTTTATTACTGTGCTCACATGCATATATTTACTACTGTGAGAGTGAATATGTTAAAATAAATTTACTAGTTGGTTTTTTGTAATTTTTTAAATCCCTATCTTTGCTAATTTTGCTATTTGGTGTCTTCATGTTTGCTTTACAGATTTGTGACAATCGTTCAATAGATACAAATAACTTTTATCACTTTAGAGAAATGTTATTAATTTTTCTAATACTGGCAACAATTCATGGACACCCCATCATTACCACTGAATTAGAATGGTTCCTTTAAATTCTAGCTCCTATAATTATGTTCCACATTAAACTTGGACCACAGGACTTTGAATCACTGGCTTGATTTTCCGTGAACAGTACAATTTAAAAAAGCATTGCCAAGTCCTACCTTAAAGTAATCGTTCTTCTTCAGACTGTCCAGGAAGCCAGCCCAGAGTGGTGAGGAAGTCACAGGGGATTTCTTGGAGTCAGAAAAATGTGGGTGACATTTGGAACACAGAATCTCAAACCCGTGAGCCTAGATGGAACAGACAATATTTTTATTATCAGGTTACTTTCTTTCCCTTTAGACACGCCCAAGAATTAGGTGACTGGACACAAGAACATATGGACATTTATAACACTTTTTGAAATTTATGAAAAATCCGACTCTATTTCCAAGTTTCTCAATCTCCGTAGATTACTAAGAATTATAGAGGAGAAGTAAGTAATACAAAACAAGATTGTTCTCTTCAAAGAGATTTCTTTTCTTGCTGATGATTAAACTAGAATTTAAATTCATTTGTTTGCTTAAAAAAAGGCTTGCAGGCTTCTCGTCAAACAGAAATTATCAATGAATTGATCATGGTCTCAGACATAATAAAGGGAGAAAAGTCACTTCATTTTAAGAATCCTTGCATTAAAAAAATATAAGTGCACATGGCAAAATAATTCCAACAGGGAGCGTCCCTGCTCACTGCAGAGGAAACGGCTGTTACCGACTTGTTGCACATCACCTCAGAAGTAATCCATGCACTCAGCGGATAGGGTGTCGCTGTGTATGCACATCCTCCTGCTCCATCCCTTTTGTCACTCAAGGGCAACATCCACACTGCTCTAAACCTGCTTTTTCTTTTTGTCATATGCCTTGGAGATCATTTTCTATGAGCACACATGAATTTAATCCTCTCATTTCATAGATAGACCATAATGTATCCGTTTCCCGACTAATAGACATGTAGGCAGTTCTCAATCTTTGCTACTACAAACAATGTTCATGAGTACCCTCGATGTCTCCGTGCACATGTGAAGTATACGGAGGAGAGATTTCTAGAAGCGAAGATGCTGAGCAGAAGGGTTTGTGCATTTTAAATGTTGAAGGATACTGACAAAGTTTGTTCCAAAACACTGAATCAATTTATACACCCATCAATGTTTGATAGTACTACCTCTTTCTCTATATAGTTTTACTAATCCAGTATCTATTATCAAACTCTTTGATACTTGCCAATCAAATGGTGAAAATACTACTTTGTATGTTTAATTGGCATTTATTTTATCATATGAGCAAGGGTCAACATGTTTCACGTTTGGATTAAAAATCTGTAGTATTTCCTATTCTCTGGACTATCTTTTTATGTTTCTGAACATTTTTTATTAATTGATTTGTATTTTTTTCATATTAACTTGTAGGAACACTATATATATTAAAGAAATCAGCTTTGTCATTTAAATTGAAAATACAGTATTTTCTCCATGTTTACTTTCTTTTGACTTTACATATGGGTGTTGTTTTTTTTCCACACAGAGAAATGTTTACTTTTTACACAATCAAATTTATCAATCTTTTCTAGCTTATGATTTCAAGTCATGCTTAGAAAGCCTTTCCTACGCAGATTATCAAAATTTCAAATTTTATGGTTTCAATTTTTTCATTTAAATACTTGGTCCAATTAGAATTTACTTTGGTACAGGTGTGAGGGAATCAACTTTAATATTCAGATGGCTTCACAGTAGTCCTATCATCATTTACTGAGTAATCCATTTTTCCTTCTTATTTGAAATGCCATGTTTTACCACATTTTTGCATAAATAGGATATATTTCTAAACTTTATATGCTGTGCCATTATTCTCTTAAGAGCCCTTATATACACAGGAAGAAAATAAAATTTTCCTGTTCTACTTTACCAGCTTCATGCCCAATTCATGGGCTCGGTACTGGGGATGAGATGGAGGAGGCAGTTTGAATCCACTCCGCCGGTCTGGTATAAACCTTTGTTGCATCAACTGTGCATACAGACATTTGGTGAAGGTGACCTAGACATTGAGACACAAAAAGACATAAGTCTTTTCTTAAAATTAAAATTGAATATTATTTCATAGTTAATAACTAGCTTCATTTATGAGCTTCAAATTCATATGAAAGGCAAAGGCCCCACCTATTCACTGCCAATATTTCATAGTAGTGGCTTTATTGAGATATAATTCACATGCCATAAAATGGACCTGCACTGTCTGCTTTTTAGTTATCACTAATGAAATTCTTATTAGTTACATCATATGGCAATTTTGATGGGTAGAAGATAAAAATAATTCTTTTTTTAAATGATTTTTAAAAAAATATATTTTTATTGATTTCAGAGAGGAAGGGAGAGGGAGAGAGAAATAGAAACATCAGTGGTGAGAGAGAATCATTGACCAGCTGCTTCCTGCACGCCCCCTACCAGGGATTGAGCCCGCAACTGCATGTGCCCTGACCAGGAATCCATCCATGACCTCCGGATTCATAGGTTAATGCTCAACCACTGAGCGACACCGGCCAGGCTAACTGAATTTTTTAGAGAGGGAAACATCTAATTAGTATCAATCAGTTGCCTCCCTTACACACCCTGACTGGGGATAGAACCTGCAACCTGGGTATGTGCCCTGACTGGGAATCGAACCTGCCACCTTTTGGTGCATGGGATGACACTCCCACCAACCGAGCCACGCCGGCCAGAGCTAAAAAATAATTCTCAATTCTCTAAAAGAAATTAAAAAAAAATTGTTTTGTTTTTTTAAAAATATATTTTTATTCATTTCAGAGAGGAAGGGAGAAACATCAATTATGAGAATCATTGATCGGCTGCCTCCTGCACAGCCCCACTGGGGATTGAGCCTGCAACCGAGGCATATGCCCTGACCAGGAATCAAACCGTGACCACACTGGCCAGGCAAGAAATGAAATGTTTTATGTTATGACAATTTGACCAAAAATAGCTAGGAAACATTGGGATATAAAATAGGGAGTCAGGTCTCTTTAAATCTTTCACTGGATGGGAGGAAAGAAAAAAGGGGAAAAAAGCATATTAACTTACAATGAGGAAACAGAATATTTTCATTTTTTTCAAGTGAACAATTAAAATAACATTCAACTCTCCAGTGAGACAAACGAAATGATCAAGAGTGATATCTTACCGATGTCATTATTCGTGTTTCAGGCAAGAATGTCTTGAAAATACGACAGGCTCGCAGGTCAATGGGGTCCCGCAGGTAAAAGGCCTGGACTCCTGCGGCCACCAGTCGGGGGCGCTGCTTTAGCACGGCCACGATGCCAGCTGGAAGGAAGCAGTGAGCTCGATGGAGGGAGGCTTGAATTTTTTCTGGGTATCTGTGACAAGTAACATAATTACTTTTACTTTATAATATGTAAATATCTAGAATTTTTATACCATTTACTTCTCTCTTAACATCTTATCTTGGTTCATCAACTGTGAGATAGAAAGAGTGACAAAAGAGTTAAAAGATAAAAATGCTGTGTATACTAAAAACTGCAGGAAAGAAGAGAGGAAAAGAGAAAAGTTGGGAGGAAATTGAATATTTTAAAAAAGAACTAAGGTGATTCAATAAAAACAAAACGAAAACTCTACTATACTTTTTTTACTTGTTTGTTTACTCTATTATACTTTAGAACAAGGATAAAATCAAATATTCTTCTAAAAATGGTTCAAGATATACTGAAACAAAGCTAAGTGATTTCTTTAAAAATATTTTAAAATTTATTTTTAGAGAGAGGAAGGAAGAGGGCGAGAGAAACATCGATCAGCTGCCCCCTGCATACCCTCTACTGGGGACTGAGCCCGCTAGGGCATGTGCCCTGACTGAGAATCCAACCGCAACGATGATGCCCAACCAACTGACCCACGCTGGCCAGGGCTAAAATAAATTTTTAATATTGTTAAGACCTGGTGGTGCTAAATATTTAATAAGTACTAAAATTTGAATAAATTACTATGTTACTAGACCTAGGCTTTCTCTTCTGACTAGAAGCTAAAGTGTCCCACACAGGTGAAAGAATTCCACAAATAGCCCCAGAACCACTGAAAAAACCTGAGCACATTTGCTCCTTTAAGTTTTTATTTCTAAAACCCTCAGAATTCTAATCTATGGATATAAATACTACTTTCTAAGGTAAATAATGTAAAAATATTTAGACTAAATTATAACGCTTTTAAATGGGAATTAAAAGATATATTATTTCTTGATTTTAAATTATCCTATTTAATAAGCCTAATATGCAAATTGACTGAACAGCAGAACGACCGGCAGAACAATGCACACTGACAACCAGGGGACAGACACTCAATGCAGGAGCTGCCCCCAGCCCGCAGGCCCCAGGCCAGCCATGGCTGGTGCCAGTGGGGTCTCCCCCATCACCTTACAATCAGCCCTGATCACCGGCCAGGCCTAGGGACCCTATCCGTGCACAAATTTCGTGCACTGAACCTCTAGTTTAAGTATAATTTGGTAGTCAATTTCATGAAGGATGAAGACAGAATGAAAATTAGTATTAATCTAGGTGAAATTCTACATTCAATGAAAGACCTGAACTGCCCTAAAGCATAAGGCTCCTTGACTAGCAATGAAAATGTTATTTTTTTTACCCTCTGATACGCCTATTCACAGCAGCTCGTACAGATTCTGAAGCCAAAATTTTTTCTGGGTGTGTTGAGATTATATTCAGTGCTTGTGGGATTGTTGGGGGTGCAGTCGGTAACCAGGATACTGCTCCAGGTTTCCTCGGTGCAGGAATAATGCACAATTCCCCATGGTAGAAAAACACCTGCAAAATATGACATTTTAGTTTTCATATGAGGCACTGCAACATGATTTTATCTCCCTAAGTTTTCCACATTTGTGTGTACTTACCCTATTAGCACTATTATCAGGATCCAACCATTTAGGGAGGTAGTCAGCAGCTTCTATTAACAAGAATTCACCATCATTGTCTTCAATCCTAATGCAAAAAAAGTTCTACTTTTGCATTCATAAAGCACATATTTGCCAGTAATTATACAGATTTTTTGATTAATATACTTGTTTATTCTAATATACTTTTTCATTCATCTTAGTAAATATCTAGGTATGTAGAGTGTGTAGATTGCTATTGTTTAAGCAAATGTTTAAGATATTAAGTTCGTTTTTTTAAATATGGAACGCTTCACTGAAAAAGACTGTAAGATTGTATGGGGGAGTTGGAGAGAAAATAAGTATACAAATAAGTAACAGTAGACAAAAGTATGAAAAAATATACAAAGTACCATAGGGTTTTAAAAGAAAAAAAAATCACATATAGCCAAGATTAGTTAACTCTTTATAGAAGAGGTATTATTTGGGCCTTGAAAGATAATTTTATTTTGCCTCAATTGTATAACTTTTATTTTATTTTTTAAATATATTTTTATTGATTTCAGATAGGGAGAGAGATATTATATATATATATATTATAGATATATAAAATACATATAATATTTATATATTTTATGTATTTTTATTAATATATAAAATAGCCCTGACCGGTTTGGCTCAGTGGATGGAGCATCGGCCTGCGGAATGAAGGGTCCTGGGTTCGATTCTGGTCAGGGGCATGTACCTTGGTTGTGGGCACATCCCCAGTAGAAGGTGTGCAGGAGGCAGCTGATTGATGTTTCTTTCTCATCGATTTTCTAACTCTCTATCCCTCTACTTTCCTCTCTGTAAAAAACCAATAAAATATTTAAAAAAGAAAAAATATATATAATATATATTAAAATATCTACAATTTAAAGAGCTTTTATAGGCCTGGTGTTTAGATATGAACCATCAATATGTAAATATCAGAATCTACACATAAAAGGTATTGCCCCTGCCCCGCGGTGTGGCTGAGTTGGTTGAGCGTCCTCTCCCATGACCTGGAGGTCACCGGTTTGATTCCTGGTCGGAGCACATGCCTGGGTTGCAGGATGGATCCCCAGTAGGGGGTGTGCAGGAGGCAGCGGATTGATGTTTTTCTCTCTCTCTTCCTCTCCCTTCCTCTCTCTGAAATCAATAAAAACATTTTTTTTAAAAGGTATTGCCCCCTCATTATACTTGTAAAGGCAGAAACTAATATATTTTATTTGTTCATTTAAAATTCTATCATTTATTAAGAAATTATTGATAATTATTTGTAGGTGTGATAACAGTAGTGTTTATTTTTATTTATTTATTTATTTAATTTAAAAAAAAAAAAATCCTCACTCCGGGACATGTTTTTCATTGATTTTAGAGAGAGAGGAAGGGAGAAAGAGAGAGAGAAGCATGACCGGTTGCCTCCCACAAGCACTGAACCCATCACCTTTTGGTGCATCGGAAGACACTCCAATCACCTGAGCCATACCAGCCAGGGCAGCAGTGTTTAAAATAACAGTTTGTATCGCTTAGACTTACTTCCTTAAGTATTTAAAGACCAAATGGCATAGCATTGGAGATTTGCTTTAAAATAATCTTATGTGATATGGAAGTAGGGGAAAGGTATAGCTAGAATAACCATGAGTTAATAATTTTTGAAGCTGTGTGACGGGTACACAGGAATTCATTTTTCCTACTTTTATGTATGTTTGAAATTTCTATATTATATGAATTTTTCAAATTTGTTGTTTTTCTTTTCATTCTGCTGGGGAAGAGTTTGGGTGGATAGAAAAAGATCAGAATTTGAGAGGTTAGAAACTAGGACAAGTGGTAAGTGGGTGAAACGCCCTCTGCTGGTACAACTCGGTCATTACAGAGAACTATCAGTTCCCATTTTTTAAAACTGAATTAGAATTTACTTTGCTATCTACACAATTGTTCACTGATATCTCTTTGAATTTCTTACACATATAATTTCTCAAACAAATGTTTAGCTATGGTCTAATAGACAAAGACATGGTAAAGATGTATGTGAAATATGTGGGACGTGTATGTGTATATGGAATTATTTTTAAAGATCTACAAGAAATCGGATGATGATTACTTCTGAGAAATCAAAGCAGTACACCCTTTGTATTGTTTAAATTTTGTTTAGCATGTGTATTTGTTGTTTCATGAGAATTAAAAAAAGAAAAGAAAACCTAAAACAAGTAGGTTTTGTTTGAAATATTTTGGAAGGTGAACTCTCCATTGATACTTTCATTCTTCCTCGAGCAAAGGAAGTCACAAAAGGAAAGAAAGAAAACACAGAAGTCATTTTAAAAATCATCTCAAATCTGTAAAATTTCTACCAGACCACAGAAAAAAATTTACTAAATGGATAAAAATGTCATAGTTTACAAGAATAAAGTAACTATACTACCTTGCTACCAATTCTGGAAATTCCTTTGTAATTTGCTTTACTATATAAACAATAAACCATTCATCCTCAATATTATCCCCAAACTTTGTCATGCCAAACATATGAGCAGGAACACCTCCTAAAAAACAAGAGAAAAGTAATCATATAAACAAATTAATTTGCCAGTGCAAATAAAAATACAAAGAATCATTCGATTAAACAAACATTCCTTGGTTGTGCTCTGGGTACTATACTAGGATCTGGGGTTGCAATCCCCAGCTCCTTGTATCTGAATAAGATACAAGAAGCCTATTCTTGAGGAGTTGAGGGTCCCAACAATAATAGACAACCAAGTCATCTCAAAACAAGACGATAAACAGAGGTATGCACTGAGGACTGTGGGGACATAAAGGATGTGAAATCTGCGTTATGCTCATCAGAGGAATGACCAGAAAGAAGTAGGCTTTCCAGGAAGACAGAATAGTATGTGCAAAGGCACAGAGGTTCTGTGAATATTAGGTAGCTAGATTTGGATGGAACAGAATTTTTACTGGTAAACAAGCATCCAATTATATGTAGAAATTAAACAACATACTCTTTTTAAAAAATATATATATTTTTTATTGATTTCAGAGAGGAGGGGAGAAAGAGAGAGAGATGGAAACATCAATGATGGTAGAGAATCATTGATCAACTGCCTTCTACATGCCCTGCACTGGGGATCAAGCCTGCAAACCCGGGCCTGTGCCCTGACTGGGAATCGAACTGTGACCTCCTGGTTCATAGGTCTACGCCAGCCGTGGGCAAACTACGGCCCGGGGGCCGGAAATGAATAAAACTATTGAAATAAAAGACCGTACCCTTTTATGTAATGATGTTTACTTTGAATTTATATTAGTTCACACAAACACTCCATCCATGCTTTTGTTCCGGCCCTCCGGTCCAGTTTAAGAACCCATTGTGGCCCTCGAGTCAAAAAGTTTGCCCACCCCTGGTCTACGCTCAACCCCTGAGCCATGCCGGCCATAAACAACATATGGGTCAAAGAAAAAATCATAAGAGAATTTAGAAAATATCTTGAGGAAATAAAAACAAAAACTCAACATACCAAAACTTATGAGATTTGGTGAAAACAGTGCTAAAAGAGTGTATAGTTATAAACGATCTCAAATCAACAACCTTAAGGAACTAGAAAAGAACAAACTAAATCCTAAGCTAGCAGAAGGAAGGAAATAATAAAGATTAGAGCACAGATTTTAAAAAAAAATAGATAACAAAAACACAGTAGAAAAAAATCAACATAAACTGAGTTGGTTTGTTAGAAAGATCAACAAAATTGACAAAATGTTAGTTAGATTAACTAAAATAAAAGAGAGAAGACTAAAAAATGAAAGAGGGGATATTATCACCTATTTCACAGAAATAAAAAGGACCATAAGAGAACACTATGAATGATTTCATATCAACAAACTGGATAACAAACATACAATCTATCTAGACTGGTCGAGAAGAAAGAGAAAATCTAAATAGACCTATAACTTGTAAGAAAATTGAATCAGTAATCAAAATTTCCCAACAACAAAAAAATGCCCAGGACCAAATGGACTTCACTGGAGAATTCTACCAACCATATAAAAAAGAATTAACATCAACACTCCTCAAACACTTACCAAAAAACTGAAGAGGAGCAAATACTCCCAAACTCATTTTATGAGGCCAGCATTACTCTAATACCAGACAAAAGACAATATAAGAAAACTAGGATCAATATCCCTGGTGAATATTGATGCAGAAATCCTCACCAAAATACTAGCAACCTGAATTCAGTAACACCAGGACCATGTGGAACATAATCCTGAAATGCAAGGATGGTTCAACATATGAAAATCAATCAATGCAATATAGCACATTAACAGAATGAGATCAAACAAGTGCATGGTGGAGTGTCTCAAAAGCTGCCAAGGCAAAAAACAGGTGGGAAGAAGAGCCCAGTCAACTCTTCTTATCCTCACCCCAGGCCTCCCAAGTTTGTTAAGCTAGAGAAACTCCAATTAGGGTATCTATCTGATGTATTAAACTTGAATTTGAACTTCATCCAGAAGCAATGTGGAGCTGTTCAAAACGTTAGGTAGGTGAGTCACATGATCAAATTAGTGTTCTTCAAAAGTAAATTTAACAGTATGAGGAAAGTGGAGATGCCTAAACTGGAGAGGTTAGTTAGGTGGCTAACATAATCTTCCAGATGAAGAGAGAAAAAGGGCCTATACAGCCCTAGCTGGTTTGGCTCAGTGGACAGTGCGGCCTGCAGACTGAAGGGTAGCAGGTTCAATTCCGGCCAAGGGCACATGCCCAGGTTGCAGGCTCAATCCCCAGTGTGGGGTGTACAAGAGGCAGCTGATCAATGATTCTCTCTCAGCATTGATGTTTCTATCTCTCTTTCCCTCTCCCTTCCCCTCTGAAATCAATAAACTATATATATATATATATATATATATATATACACACACACATATATATAAACAATATATATATGCAATAAACAATATATATATATTATTTTTTTTTAAAGGGGCCTATACTGTAGCCGAACAGATGTAGAGAAGAGGTCACATTTTAGGAGTATTCACTCTAGGACTTAGTCCCTGACTGAACATGGTGAAGTGAGGAATTGAGTATGATTTTGAATGACTACCTAACTTGGATAAGTAGGTAGATAGCAAAGCCATTAAGCAAGATGAAACACTGGATAAAAATGATTTTCTAGAAAAAAGAGTTGGTTTTGCATGTGCTGCAGTAACGTGACAGTGTTCTTGCCAATAAATACATGCATTTCAGTGAATAGGAATTCAATAAAATTAACAGTAAAGAAGACATCTGACAACCAATTGAGAGCCAGGCTTATGGTCTCACAAGATGCCATGCTCCCGATCTGAAACAAGACCTCAGACAAGTCACTGTTTAAGGAGAGCCTGGTCACCTATCCATGATTCACTTTTGTGAAGCTAAAGAAGTCATAGGGCAAAGAGCCATATTTGGCTAGAGGTCAGATCTCAACAACCAACAACACAGGGAAGACAATGAAAAATCTCAAAATGCTTCCGAGTGGCAAATAATGGTTATAAAGCCCAATTATTTCTCTTTATAAGCCAGGCAGAGCTACTCTTATCACTACCAAAACAACCTTATAAAACAAGGAGGCCTACTAATCACACCATCAATAGTGAGAAATACAGAGTAACAGCTAAAGATGCCTGAATCTGTTAAGTATAGGTACCTAGATACTTTATGGCATAGAAAAGTAAAGCTTAAAAGAATAGCCCCCCGTTTAATAATGTTGCTTAGTTCCTAAGGTAGTGACTATCAGAATGTTTTCATCAATATGAATGAAAAAAAATTTTAAGGGCTTAACTTAATATAGGCAAGCATCACTAATCTAAATCTCCTGACAACACTGAATAAACTGGGGGCTATTATATGTCACTGTTATCAGAATGACCTTAAAGCCACCATATAAAATATAAGTAAGTAAAAGAGCCTTCCTTACCTTTCTCAGGTTTGTATTTGAGATTGAAAGGCTGATTCTGCCAGATATAATGGACCAGCATAGGTGCAAACTGGGTCATTATTCTCTCAATATACTTCTGAAGAATCTCCTTGTGTTCTTCTGCATCCCTTGGTTCATCTGGTATCAGGAACAGGCGGTACTCCACAGCATCTTCCACTGTAGCAAGCTTCATATTCTCCTCCATTCTTAAAGTTTCAATAATATAAACCACCTAGAATAATGTAGAAGTAATATACCGTTCCCTGAATTATTTTAGGTGATTCCATTAACATTGTTTTGCAAAATTCAAAATTTATCCACATACCATCATCATGATTTTTGTCTTGATCATTTATCAAATATAATAACACTTATTTAATGTTCTTTCAATGACCGGTTTGTAGTTAAAATTATGTTCTTTACAGTTAAAATTATGTTACAGGAACTTGTGATATAATACAATGAATGGGTTCTAACTGGTGTGGCTCAGTGGCTAGAGCATCAGCCTGCGGACTCAAGGGTCCCAGGTTCGATTCCGGTCAAGGGCATGTACCTCCTTGCAGGCACATCCCCAGTAGGGGGTGTGCAGGAGGCAGCTGATCGATGTTTCTCTCTCATGGATGTTTCTCTCTATCCCTCTCCCTTCCTCTCTGTAAAAAAATCAATAAAATATATATTTTTTAAAAATACAATGAATGGAAATCCAGTATCACATTCCCAAATTATGTAAGAACAAAATAAAAAAATATTTGCCCTTGTAGTTGCAGTGGCGTGTGTAACACACACAGTTTGAGAACACTGCACTAACATCTTCTGTTTAAATACTATCCAAAGTTGCAGCTCTGCCACTAAATTAATTGTCATCTTGGGCACTATCTCTTTCTGGGGCTTTTTCTTTCATTGTAGAATTAAATTGTTACTCTACCATCTCTAGAATCCTGCACCAATTTAACTTTTTATTATTTAAACCCTCTGAAAAGCAATCTGCCTTACTCTGCAGAATTTTGATCTTTCTCTTTTATAAACACCGTATGACACAGGGGAATTAAAAACTACAAAACATTCATGTCTTATCCCAAAACAACTTGCCCATGGTTCTTGACCCTACAACTACCTCTCCAACACTTGCCCCTTTTTCAGGTCTCAGGGGGCACAGCTCTGTCATACCAGGAGGTGGTAGATATCTCTTTATCTTCTAAGAGTTCCCATTACAAACAAAAGTAGTAGTTTAGCACTGCTGCCGGGTGATGCTTTGTAAACAATGGCACAGCCCTGGATGGCCCAGGTGACCCGATTTTTATATCTACTCGGCTTTCCATCGGACTAATATGAGATGGAGAGGAACCTCATCTTCTCTGCACGCCCTTTCACCGCGGGCTGTCCAAATCCTCGCCTGGCCTTTCCGCCCAGAGTGGCAGGCAGTAATTCCACCCACCTAACCACCCGTGGAGCCAAGCACACCTGATGATGAAGAACTCCGTGTCAGACCAGGAGGGGCTTGGAGGTCACGCGAGCTAAGCCCTCGCTGTACAGATGGCAACGCCGGGAGCACAGAAAAGAGAAGCGTCCCTCCTTGCGTCTGACAAAATGAAGCCAATTCCTCTTACGGTTGAGGGCCTCTCCGTCGCGTCTCTGCTGCGGCACCTCCCCTCGGCCGCCCCTCCCACCGCGTGAGCTGGTCGGGAGCCGGGAACAGCCAGCCGCCGCCAAAGCCTGGCCCCTCGGCTCAGCCCAGACACGCGTGTGGGACCCGAGGCCCGCTCAGCGCCGGAACCCCGGCGTCGTCACCGCTGCGCTCGGACGGGAGCCTTAGGCGGGTGCGCGATGCGTCCGTCACTTCCGCCCCCGCGGGAAGTAGGGAGGACGGAAGATCGGAGAGGTGGGGAGTCCGAGGAGGCGGCGGTCCGGAGTCTAGGCGACGGGGCGTGACGGGGCTGGAAGGTGGCGGGAGGGGGCCGGGCAGGAGCCGGCCGGAGGGCCCGGCCTGGAGGCCCCCATCCTGGCGTGCCCGTGCCGGCCGCGAATGAGGAGGCGGCGGAGGATGATCTCCAGATACACTCGGAAGGCGGTGCCGCAGAGCTTGGAGCTGTGAGTGATGCTCGGCCATCCCCGCCGCGGCCAGGGGAGGCGAGGTGGGGCGCGGGCGCTCCGGGGCCCTTCGTGACCAGCCCCTCGCTCCTTCCCGCCTGGCTGGACTTTGTCCCTTCCGCGCCCATTTCCAGCTACGAGAGTGTCACTGTGCTGTCCCAGGGCTTGGCCCCCTTGGGCGGCGTTTCCAGAGCTCGGGTCCCCTAAGGCTTTGGTGGTTTCGGCAGCTTCACGCCGCACTGTCCTGGCCACTGACCACCCAGGAAGTTGTTAGTCGCTGACTGTTAGAGTAAAGGTGAATATATCCAGTGCCGGGCACCGTGCAAAGATGCTTACATGTACTTGCTCACTTAATCCGACCCAACAAGCATAGCAGGTGGGGACTGTAATTTTGCATTCTACAGGGAAAGACCCCAGTTTAAAGACTGTGCTCAGCCTGAAAGTGGTGGAGCTGAAGTCACCCCCGGTGTCCACCGGATTCTGCAGCCTGTGGTCATAGCCATTACACAAACTGCCTCCATCGCTACAGTTGAGCATCTGAATCCATAAGGATCAGTTCGCTTTGAGACTTGTTTAAATTTTATTTGTAAATGTTTATTGTTGAAAGTATTACATATGTCCCCCTTACTCCTCCAGTGACCCCTTCTAGCCGCCCTCCCCCACCCCCATTTCGGGATGATACTCTAACAACTGAGCAGTGCCAGTCAGAATGCATCTTTAAAAATTATATGCATTTTCTATGTAACCACAATGCTGTTATCAAATTTAATATTTTTGGTATTATCTAAGTGTCAATCCATAATCCACTTTCACCATCCTATTGTCTGTGTCCATGGGTTATGCACATAATTTGCTTTGAGACTTTAGAGAGCAAATATTTCTGGCTGAAAGACACACCTCCCACCCCTAGTGCAGTGTTGTAATTTAGTTAGTAATGATAATGTCACACATTTACTAATGCAGACTTGCACATCTTGACCCTTGTAGCGGTCAATAAGATGGGTATGATTATCTTCAGTTTTTCAGAAGATGCTATATCAGACAGTTTACACATCTTAAGATTATATAACCAATAGGTTTTGAGCTTGGGTGTTTGTTTTTAATTCCAATCCCTCCACCCCCTTTCTCCAATGAGCTATGTAATTTTAGCAACCATACCATTTATTATTAATTATACATGGTAATAACAAGCCTATTATTTTTCAGTTATATCTGGGTTTCTGGCTAGGGTCTTTTCTGGCCAGGTGACTTTTAGGCAAATTACTAAATTTTTGATCCTTCCTTTCTGTAATTTAGGGATAAGACCTTATCTAAAAGCGCATCTAAAGTGATGGCACAAAGCTTGACACATAGTTGGTCCTCAGAAAGTGGTAATTTCCTGTCCCTTCCCACCTTTACTTGGTCAGTAGCCATACAAAGAAAATCACTCTGTGATATCTCCTTCTTTCAGAAGCTTATTATCCACAAAGTAATAGGATATCTACATAGTAGCAATACAGATAATAAGCTTTTTAGAAATTAGGAAGAAGAAAGTTATTTCTAATAAAGCAAATAGGGTTTAGTAGAAATCTGCTTTTATAATAAATTCTGATCATTCAGAAAGTAAAAACTACTATGGAAAAAAGTGATCCAGTATCGTTATGTTACTTGTTCTCTGTTGTTAATTTGATACTCCCTAAGATAACTCTCCCAAAAGATGATTCTCTGGAGGAGTCAAGGTGATTTGAATAGTGAAGATAATGGGGATTATATGCATCTAAATGACTATAAATTAAAAGCAATTTTTACATTAGTTGTTAGAATGGTAATTTGCTTTGAAGCAGTAACTTTAGTTTTCTACCTAACACTTCTAAATCAGACATATTGGAAAGAATTTGGATAAAGAATGATTTTCAACATACAGCTTAACATTTTTAATGCCAAATTTCAAACATAAATATAATGAGGCACCAATCACCCACATTAAACATTTATCAAAATTTTAATATATTTGCTTCATCTATATTTTCTTTGTTGTTCATCTGTGAAATAAGGGAGCAAAACAAAACTCCTGACACTATCATTTTACCCCTATATATTCAGTGTGCATCTTTAAAATTTTTTTATTGATTGACTGACTTTACAGAGAGAGGATAGGGGAGAGAGAGGGGGAAAGAGAAACATCGATTTGTTGTTCCACTTATCGATACAGGTATTGGCTGATTCTTGTATGTGCCTTGGCTGGGGATTGAACCTGCAACCTTGGCATTTCGGGATGATACTCTAACAACTGAGCCAGTGCCAGACAGAATGCATGTTTAAAAATTATATGCATTTTCTCTGTAACCACAATGCTGTTATCAAATTTAATATTTTTGGTATTATCTAAGTGTCAATCCATAATCCACTTTCTCTGACAGACTGAAAAAGGTCTTAAGTTTCTATTTTATAACTGGAATCCTTATTTCTGACCCCTATCACTATTTCAAAGACAAATTTTTAGTTGTAGGATCACTGAATAAAAGAAGTACCAATAGCTCTACACAAGTCCATCCCCACCATTTAGAAATAATTTAAAGTACAAGCTCCACTAACTGGGCCCTTACCTTTATATTTGTATACAAAAAAAAAAAAAAAAAAAATGGTACAGTTCACTAAAATCTCAAACTATTCAATTGTTCTGAGAAGCCTCAGAGCCAGACTACTTGGGTGTGAGTCCTGGCTCCATCACTTACTAGCCCTAAGACTTAAACAGGTTACTTAATCCCTCTGTGCCTCAGTTTCCTTTCCTGGGAAATAAGAGTATTAGAGATTTATAATACACATTTGCATATAAAAGGCCCTGGGAAGACCTCTTGTAAAGAAACCTGTGTAACTTGGTTTAACCTATCGTGTTTCCTAAATTTATTTGACTAAAGAATTTTGTGGGGCCCTAACCAGTTTGGCTCAGTGGATAGAGCATCAGCCTGCGCACTGAAAGGTCCCAGGTTTGATTCTGGTCAAGGGCATGTACCTTGGTTGCGGGCACATCCCCAGTAGGGGTGTGCAGGAGGCAGCTGTTCGATGTTTCTCTCTCATCGATGCTTCTAACTCTCTATCCCTCTCCCTTCCTCTCTGTAAAAAACCAATAAAATATATTTTTTTAAAAAGAATTTTGTGGAGAAG